TTTTTAGTTCTATTGAAAGAGCCCTGATACTTTGAAATATGTTTGACAGAAGTTTAGTTTTTTAGTTTAGTGTTGTTTTTTAGAAATATAATTACACATTGTCACCTGGTTAAAATATAGATAAAATTAAATATTTCCTAAAAACATAGAAAAGTACAGTAGAGAACTGTCTCCAGATCTTCCTCTCAGACTGGTTATGGCTACAACAAGCTCTGCCAATCAGAGAGGAGGTCAGCCTGTATGTACAGTAGCCTGAGAGGCGCTACCTGATATTGCTATGAGAGTATAATAATAACTGAAAGCAACCTTGATGACTAAATCTATATTTTTGTCCCTTATGGCTGGTAAGTGAGGAGGAAATTGTGCACTGAATCATACAGTATGGCACACTCAGGGCCATGTCTAACAGTAAATCATTACAGCATGTCTCATTTTGTGTCTCGGGGTGCTGTGGCAGGTGCTGTGTACTTTAGGATTTACAGTCATCGCAGTTCCTTCCTCTAAATGAAATGTTGCCATGATAACCATGTTGGTTATGTTCCTGTGCTGGTCAACTGTAAAAGAGGCCTGCTGCTCCGCCACCTGCCACACCATCACCAAATCCTGTGCACCATGATGGTGCTGATCAGTGCGAGCCAAATCCATCAACACACACTGTTCATGTCAACCAAACACAAATACAAACAAATGTAAAGGATGATCAGATGAAATAACACACCTGTAGCAAACATACTGGACAACATGAGACAACGGAATCACCTTTCTTAACATAAAAGAAACTAAGGAGACGAGATAAATGGTTTATTATGCATTTGCAATAATACAGTTATAAGATTCCTTTTGGGTGTTCAAGAATCTGGACCTATGTTGGCAGTTAATGGAGATCTGAAAGGGGACTCCTGTGAGGGACAGCACAGAGCCGGATATTCAGGGCTCAGCCCAAACCTAGGGTGCAGGCGCATGCTCCTCTGGGAAGATTTTATGGCAGCCATATGCACTATTTTTCAAGCCATTTCAGATAACAGAATGGTTGAAAATTATATTGAGGAGATACATTTGGGAAAAATATAATCGTCACCAAGGAAAAAAAATCATCCTGTAGAGCCCTCATCCCATTTTGTATCCAATTGTTGTCCAATTCAGCTGTCTTCATCAGCCTGAAACTAGAACACAAATGTTGAGGATGACTTATTTCCTCTTAAAAATAAATAATAAATTAAAATCATAGACTGTATAAAATAATGGAGTAGCTGCTGGACATCACCCATTGCTTTGTGAACTCCCATTTCCAAAGCCTTGAGTTCATGGATGTATAAAGAGACCCAGATACAGCGTTAGAGGTGGGACCCGTTTAATTCCGGTGAGAGTTGATCAGTGGTGCATGAAAAATGGTTTTACTGCTCCATATAAAATTACCTGGACGATCCAGGGATTATCGGCACTGCTTCCGCATTGTGCAGCCCATACAGGAGGCACACTAGAGACTTAAGACAGCTGTGTTGACTAATTCAGGTTTAGTGCTATGGTAGTCTCTCTCCGGAGACCCCGGAGATCTTGCCTGCGGAAGAAGAGTGGAAGAGCCCTGATTTCCAGTGCTAGGCTGTTTGTAGTCCGCGTGATATTGACCAATCACGTTTCAGCCGGCTGCAGTTGTTGCCAGGTTAAACGCTCCGTACGGTGAACTAACGAGGCGGAACATAATTGGCGTCACTGCAAACTCTGAATCCATCGCAATGTTTCAGCATATTTACTTATATATAAATAGAAGTCGGAAACGGAAATTCGCCTCCGCCGCCCAAATCAAAAAAATTCGGGGGTCTGCCCCCAGAGGCTGTATCGCCGTCTGCCGGAAGTCAGACGCCGAATACAGCTGATGGGTTCTGAGAATAGCGCTATGGTAACTTAAATGTGGATAAAATGACTTAATTGTGCAGCGTGGACCAAATGGATTAAATTCTGATAGTAAAATGAGTTATTTCAGGAGGTCCTGATGCTCAAAAAATTCAGCCACTGATTTAAAGATGTCTCTTCACCATGTAAATATATGAGAAAAAAGTCTTTTTGGGCTGCAGGGCATCACATGATGGTGCAATTACACTGTTTGGTTATTACGAAAACTGACTTCAAAGCCTAGCACGCTTCCTGGGGGCCTGCTTGAGTTCGTTGTTTTGGCCGTCACCATCTAGGTTTTTTGGAGTCAGAAGTGATGCTATTTTGATTAGAGGGTGAAGCTGTAGAGGAGCAAGGGTTGGATCTGACTCATAGACTGTGGCAACACCTCTCAGACAAGCTACAAGCTACAGTTGTCTTGAATGTTAAAATTAGTTATAAAGACCAAAAACTGATTTTTGTACCAGGCTGTAAACAGCTGGGCATTTTAACATGGCTGTATAAAGGGGACTGACTCACCTTTAGAGTCCCCCTCAAGTGGCCATTAGGGAAACTGCAGTTTTTGGCACTTCTGCATTGGCTTTATTTTTCAGTCCTGGAGGATGCCGCTTGATTTAAATCTATGCCCTAATAATCTGGGCTGCTGTAACTACAAATCAAAGATCCCCACCAATGCCAAGTAAATGTGATCTTCAATACTCTGAATTGAAAATTAGACCAACAGAACAACATATACTCAGTTATATTAGATTTCTTTATGAAGTAGCAAGGCTGGAACACCAGAAACCACCCCACACTCCCTTCCAGGGCCAGCAGCGTGAGTTCATGGAATTGGCTGCCGGATTTAACAAGCAAAGGAGAACTATGAAATATTGCCTTACTGATTTACTGGAGGTGAAGGGACATCCAATATATTGGTTGTATCCTACGAAAAAATGGGGCAGTACCATGTCAGGGGTAAAGAGTGAAAATGGTCAGAGATATGGGCAAAAAGCCAACACTGAGAACATTTTGCTTATTTAAGATGATTATAAATGTGAAAAATATGTTAAGGGAACATGAGGGGAGCATAAAGTAACACCCAACAACTTGAATGGTCAATGACGCTATGAACACTGCAACTCTTATTATAACCTACAGTGATCTGAAATGTCAGAATTAGATGCTGATCTAGGACAGGCCTTGATGTACGCCACAGCACCTTATTAAAATGTGCAGCTTTGCCTCAAAACTAAAAAAAAATCTCTCAGCTGAAAAACTGTCAAGTCATCATTCCTCTCCCTCGGAAACACAGGATGCCTTTGAACTCAGAGGACTGAATTATTGACAGTGACCGGCCCACTGTTTCCTCAGTTAACTCCACGCAGCTCACTTCATCGTAGCTTTGCTCTGCTGCAGAGGGCATGGCCGTGTGTACACTGCACCAGGAGAAGCTTCATAAATGATTTACCAGCTGGTTCTCCCTCAAAGCTCCAGAGGAGACACAGACAGAGCAACACTTACTCCTCTGATGGAAGCCTTTGAGGAATGTTCTCCATGCTAATCAGCTGCTACTTAATGTATTCTGCAGTGTTTTTGCATGCAAACATGGCCAAAAGTCACATTCTAATTAGGAGTTTCTGATTTTGAGAAAATAGGACCAGAAAAAACACATACCCCCCCCACACACACGCGCATGTGGGAAATAAAGCTCTATTACTGCCACTCTTTGAAAAAGCCAATCAGCTTTAAAATGTGAAGTAACCATTCATGCACTCATTAATCCAGAGTTGTTAGAAAGTCTTATTGCTTGAAAGCGAGACATTTTTTTTACTGTTCATTACACAACACTTAGCTCCAAGTTTACAGTGTGAGTAGCTGACAGGTACTATAATGAGTGCCAATTTATCATGATATACTGTAGCACTCCCTACTGCAGTGTTTCCGAAAGTGGGTGCTGCGTCACCCCGGGGTGCCCTGAAGATGGGCCAAAGTTGCCGCAAGATGTGCTCATTTACATTTTGTACATTCCACCAATAAATAAGGCAACAATTACATTCACTACATCAACTAGAGTACTTCTAAAAGCCCAGAATATGCAGTTATGTCACAGGAAAGTCTGTTGACCTGACAGATGATATTTTCCCGTTGCTGTGGTGAAAGCACTTTATGGCACATGTTTCCAAGGTTTACAGCAGTCAGGAATAGTAATGTGTCACTGTGAACAGATCTAAATAAAATGCTGATACTCCTCAGCTCCCAACAGTCTGATAACCAAACCTGAGACAGCCAAAAGAATTAACAAGTGGTAAGTAGTTTAATGCACACAAAACATTTTCTGCTGACTTTTAGTATAAGTTTTCAACTGGAAAACCAGTAGGAAGCTTTTATTGTGAAGCGGGTATAGGAAATGTAATGTTCCTGTCACAGAGTTTGTGGAACTTTGTTCTTGGTACTTACCATCAATAAAAACTGGTAAACTCAACAAGAGATGGATATATTCCAACACATTCTCACTCCCAACTTGTCATATATTAACATTTGGTCAGTAGCCCTGCAAGACTATGAAGGTCTAGTTATCCTCTATTGCCAGTTTTGCAATCTCAAGGACGATGTGTCAATTTACGCTTATTACACACATTGTGCCTTTTAAAAATTAACTTCTGTTTCACAGGAAATGCACACTTTCCATTTGTTAAATGCATACAGTCTCTTCAAAATATATTTAAAATGTATGTAAAAAACTTTAAATTTTTAGGTTAAGTGCATTTGGTTTAGGCAACAAAAGTATGTGGTTACTTTAAAAAAACCCATCATGCTTGGGCTTAAGTGGGATTAATACATCTGTGTAGAATCAACGCTGTACCCTACGGCGTAGGCTGATCTGCACCTCCGCATTGACACAGACCTCCTGTCTATTTTTCCCACACTGATGTGAAATAAAAGCAATAGCATCTGTGCCACTTCTTCCATTGTTGTCCCTTAACAACTTCTTAATTCTCTCATCTACCAAATAACATAAAAAAGTCCTGCTTTTGCCCTTTTACTGGTCCCAGGTTCCAGTTTAAAATTACAGTGGACATACAAGAAAGAACTTCAAACCAAAACTGAAGAATGGAAATAGCTCTCACCTGAGACCATATAGCACAGTTCCATCAGGGTGCAGTCTGATCATACGGTTCTTTACTGTCACCCCATGGACGAAAGACTTTTTGTCATTAATGAAGTAGGTGTCAGGGACCCACAGCTGGTCTGCCACCCGGTTGTCCAGGGTGAGATTGAGAGGAATGCCTGTGTAGGAGAGGCGCTTGTCTCTCCAGGACTGTTGGAAGTACATGGTGATGGTGTAGTCCTGCAGGAATGACACAGAATAAGAGGAGGGTTAGCACATCAACATAGACGAGCCAATTTCCTGTGTGCTGTTTGGTTTCTTCTATCCCTGTGAGAACTGACTTTAGTTTCAGTGTTGAGTATCAGCAGTTAGTAACTTATTAACCTCAGATGGTTATTTTGACAACTTTCAACCTGGATTGTAGTACTGAGACTGAGCTGATGGCAGTTGTTAATGCAGCCGCCAACAACTGAACCTGTCAAATAGTGTCTCTTTGTCAGTGGACATCTGCATCAGGTAACAATGCACAAAGGCACCTTTTATGATGATAAAATGCACCTGCTGGTGGCAGTTACTAACGCCATTGGCAATTACTGTAGTAAAAAGATTGATTTTAGTACTGAGACTGCTCTCATTAAGGTTTGGAATGATATTCATCCAGAAACTGATCGAGAAAAGATTCAGTCTCAGTTACTGCTGGCTTTGACACCCCTGACCAAAACAGTAATTCTGAACAAACTGGAAGACTGGGTTGGACTTTCTGACACAGTCTGAAAGTAATTCACATCCTATCTCCAGGACAGGAATTATTTGGTTTCAATAATCAAGTATGCATCTGAATGGAAAAACAGGAGTTCCCCAAGGCTCCATCCTTGGGTCCCTTTTAATCATCATTTACATGCTTCTATCAGACCACATGACATAAAACAATGAAATCGAGTATCATAACTATGCAGACAACACCCAATTGTACCATATTCTTCTAAATAGTGAATATCACCACATAAATATGTATCTGCATCAACATATCAATGACTGGAAGTGCCTGAATATCCTTCGGCTAACAAAACTGAAATAACTGTCACACTCTCAATCACAACTCTTTGTCTTTGAAAAACAAAATCCAGAAATCACAGTTAAACTCTGACTCTACACCTTAACAGGCATATTAAATCAACAAATTCTGCGTTCTGTAATTTTAAAACCATACAGTAGCAAGAATTCGAGGGTCCGTGTCCAGGTATGACTTCATACTGTTCATATTTTTATTTCCAGCAAGTAAGATAACTGCAACTGTCTTTTCTCAGGTCTGATAATATTTTTCATGATCAAAGTTACTGAAAGTCAGCTTGATTTTTGTCAAAGTTAAGTTTTTGCCATGTATAGTTCATTACTAGGTTTTCAAAGCCACATCTGAGCTTTTATTGAGGATCATGAACTGGGGATGGAAGGAGTTCATTGTGTCACATTAACAAAAAGCACATTACTTGAAAAGACAACTACAGTGTTGTCAGATATGATAGAACTAAACTCCTCATTCCTATATGGTTTTTCATATGAAATAAAGTGTCTTAAGGGGCTTTAGACTTCATCAGGTCCTGCCAGGTCCTGCCTTGTTCTGTGTAAGTCCCATGTGAGAAAGGTTGAACTCCCTATATACATGGAGTTACAGAATGTAACAGAATGTCATTATGTTGTTGCTGGAAAAATGCCTGCCATAAATAGTATGAAAAATGTGGTTTGATGGAATGCAGATCCAAAGGATTATACATTTAAATTGGTCACTCAAGCTGACAGTAACAGCCTATAATGCGATGACTGTAACAAAATCTGCTGTTCACCCAGCTGGGTGTGTTGACTTGATGTAGGTGTGTTATGAATATTATGTCTACAGTGCATGATTTTGACTGCTGCAGTAGCACCTGAGCCTTTTGGACTCAGACTGACAGTTCCTATATAAACTCACTGTTGAGCAGCTACAACAGAATACATACTATACTAAATAATTCAAACAAAGGTAATGTTGAATAATACTCAGAACAAAGAATAACAAATAACTATTTAACATTAATTCCAAGATTAACTTGATAAGTGACCAAAATTAAATTAGTCTGTGGTGAGGTTCAAGTATTCTTTGAAACTGGTGTCTGTTAAATATTATTTGTGAGGGAAGACGCCCCACTCTGTAAAACCACTGTATGATCAGAAGTGGACTGTAGAGTCCACATCTTCTACAGACTGATATGTCTTTTCTCTAGGTGATTTTGTCACATTAGTTTCAGAAGGCACATCTTTCCAGTTTAATTTTCATTCATACGATATTAATCATATAAGCTTATAAATTTGATATTCTTTAACTAGGACTAAAAGTATCAACCCAATCACCTGAACAGAAATATGGAATTGTATGTTTTTGCAAAACACAGATATGTTGTATTTGTATGTTATTATGTAGCGAATATGCTAACACTTTACATTTTAACAACGCTATGGTTAATGTATGTGCGAATATGTTTAGGCTCAAAACCCACTTGGTTATGGTTGTAAAAGATCATGTTTTGGCTTAAAATACACTGTTTTAGGGGCACAATCCTTGCAGGAAAAGCAGGGATGTGTCGCTAAAAACAAAAAAACAACTGCTCTTCATCCCACTATTCCCAGAGGAAAAGCAGTGACCATCGTTAAAAACAACTGCTTCTGTGCCACTATCCCGGTAAGAAAAGCAGCAATGCCTTGGTAAAAATCAATCACTTTTTGTGCCACTATCCCTCCTATTACTCGTGAACAGTGTTGTCTTACCTAGGTGACAAGCCATCAGCCATCCCCTCCACCTACTGATGACAATGTCGGCTTATATATTATGTCACTTTAGAAACAGTGATAATATGTACGAAAATGTAACATATTCATGGTTTGCAGAAACATTCACTGCCAACAGTTTCTCCTAGAGACTGGGCTGGATGAATTTGGATGAAAAAGCTCTGTAAAAGTAAGGTGTGTCAGATACATATTTCATTACCGTTTAGGTAAAGATAAGTTTTGGATCTGACTCAGTATCAGCAGACACTCAATATTAAAGGATCTCGGATCAGGGCCAAAAGAACTCCATTAGAACATCCCTATATTCCACCCTGAATTCTGTGTGTGTAAAACACTGTGACAGTTCAAACTTTACTCAGAGGTCTGGACACTCTTTGCCTGATATTTTGAAGCTAAGTTTACAGCTCTCTGAGAGAGAATGTTTGTGAACATGGCCCCTGGTTATTTTGGCCCCACTCACTTATTGAACTGTTTGCTCTGCCGGTACGTCACTGTACCACCCTACTGTTAAACTAGAGGTCATGATTAAGTATGCTTTGGAAAATTGTAAAGACTAAAATGAAATTACATATTATAATGTTTTCTTCTTGTGTCTAAGTGACTAATGGGAGCAACATTTTTTAAAATTAGTACAGTATTGAGCAAGACCACTGCTGCCAGTAGCAGCGAAACAGGCTGTGAAGTGTTTGTTTATGCCACTGACAAGTTTAGATTGTTATAAGTGTGGACAACTTATGGAAAGGATCCCTAAAGAGGTCTGCCTTTTTGTTAAAGTGTAATTTTCTTTTTGTTAGACAGCTCTGAAATCGCTATCGCCAAACACACCAGACTCCATTTAAATAAATAGTAATTTTAGCGTGAAGAGGCAGCATATTCCAGCCTGCATTCATGCCCAACTTGTCAAATACCGCTTTGTCAGTGATCTCGGTGTCAGATACCTACACAGGGAGGTACTCTTTGTGTCGGTATGATACGCACCAGACGATGGCAGTTGGCAACAACTGAACCTGTCAAATAGTGTCCCTTTGTCAGTGGACATCTGCATCAGGTAACAACCAACAAAGGCAACTTTTACGATGATAAAATGCACCAGCTGGTGGCAGTTACTAACACCATTGGCAATTACTGTAGTAAAAAGACAGAGAAAGTCCATTTAGGACAGGGTCGGAGGCACAAAAGATGGGTCAAACAAACTCTGGAATTTCCCACAGAAGCCCTTGATTTGTTTCCTGTGTGAAACCAAAAGTCAGTAGTTACTAGTCCATACCCATTGGTAGCTTTGTCACCTTCTACCTATGCCAATCCTCAATGCCTATGTGCAGTTTCACATAGATTGACCATGTCGGTGAGTAGAAAAACGTGGGACAGACAGAATGACTGACTGACAGAATGACACACTGACAGTTTCTGTGATCATGTACAGCATACCATACCATGACCCAGTCATACCAAAAATTAGAAGAAAACAAACATTGGTCCACAGGGGGAGCCACAGCTATCGGTTGCATTTTAGCCATTTTTAAGTATTTTTCTGTTGTTATAGCGCCACCCAGTTGCCAATTAGAGTTAAATTTCTCCAGTCACCTTGAGGCATCCTGTTCTACATATCTACCAAGTTTAGTAAAAATCCATATGGCGGTTAGGCCTAGATAAGAAATTAGCTCTCTAGCGCCCCCATTTTGTTTGACGGGGTCAATAATGGAGGGGTCCCCTCAGATTATGTGTGCTCATATGCCTACAAAGTTGCGTGGTGATCAGTGAAACCCTTGAGATGTTATACACCTTTATGTGATGAGCCACGCCCTCTGCAATATTCATTGCCTTATAGAAGCTCAGTTTTAGTAAGTCTTCCAACTTTTGCCAAGAGGGAACTTTAGATATTGGTCCCTAGATTATGTTCACTGAGTTTCATGCAGATCGGTCAAACTTCCTAGGAAGAGATCGATTTTAAGTGTTTTTCAAAAAAATCAAAATGGTGGAAAATGTATATAACCAGAAGTTATGGGTTCTTGAGGCAAATGTGTTCCTCATGAGGAGAGGCATCTCTGTGCAAAGTTTCATGTCTCTACGACATACGGGGCATGAGATAGGCCCATTCAAAGTTTGCAATTTCAATTGGTTGCTATAGCGCCCCCCTTTGGCCAATTGATGTAATATTGCTTCATTCGTATCCTCCCATGACCCTCTACCACTGTGCCAAATTTCACATGGATTGACCAAGTCAGTGAGGAGAAAAACGTGGAACAGACACACCCACAGACAGAGTTTTTGTCATTATATAGTAAGATTATATATATATATATTCTATATGTATTATTCGTCATTATTTAGTAAGATTTGATAACAAAGTTGTGTGCTAGCATGTGTAGCATGTAGTGATGTATATCACGTGATACTACATGATGTTAGTAACAATTATA